TCTAGTAGGCTTAAATTGAAGATGTGGTAAATAGGAGTGACAATATCGGTCCATCCAAGTTGTCAGACCCCAGTGGCTTGTCATTGTTGATAGACAACAACAAAAAAATTCACCTCTTCCACACTCACTTTATGGAATTCAAAATTACAATTCTTGTCTTTCATAATTTGGTCAAATATAGTTGGATGTGTAGTGTCAGCGTTTGTTGCTGGCATGTCATGCCTAAGTTTTCGAATCTTGCCAATGAAAAAAATCATTAAAGTGGTTGGCAATATCAGTCGGTTTTGTGATGAGTGAGCCATCTGATTCAATGAATGATGGATTTGAGTTTGCCTTTTTCCCCCAAAATGTCATTGAATGTGCTCCAAAGCTTTTTACTATCATTCTTTGTTATTTATCTTTGTTTCATAGTGTAGTTTCTTATTTTTATTCAGTTTAGTCACATTGATTTCTGAATTTGCAGTACGTTTGCCACTCGGTTGTGCAGCCAGACTTATTTGCCATTCCTTTTGCCTCATCCCTTTCAACCATACAATTTTTCAATTCCTCATCACCCACAGGGATTTAACCGTTTTTACAGTCATTTTCTTAATGGGTGCATGCTTATTAGTAACTGGGATAAGCAATTTCATAAATGTGTCAAGTGCAACATCTGTTTGCTCCTCATTACACACCACGGACCAACAAATATTATTTACATCAACAACATAGGAATCACTACAAAACGTATTGAATGACCTCTTATACACTATAGGCCCAGCCTTTGGATCTTTGGTTTTCCTAGATACAGTGGGGGAAAAAAGTATTTAGTCAGACACCAATTGTGCAAGTTCTCCGACTTAAAAAAATGAGAGAGGCCTGTAATTTTCATCGTAGGTACACATCAACTATGACAGACAAATTGAGAATTTTTTTCTCCAGAAAATCCCATTGTAGGATTTTTTATGAATTTATTTGCAAATTATGGTGGAAAATAAGTATTTGGTCACCTACAAACAAGCAAGATTTCTGGCTCTCACAGACCTGTAACTTCTTCTTTAAGAGGCTCCTCTGTCCTCCACTCGTTACCTGTATTAATGGCACCTGTTTGAACTTGTTATCAGTATAAAAGACACCTGTCCACAACCTCAAACAGTCACACTCCAAACTCCACTATGGCCAAGACCAAAGAGCTGTCAAAGGACACCAGAAACAAAATTGTAGACCTACACCAGGCTGGGAAGACTGAATCTGCAATAGGTAAGCAGCTTGGTTTGAAGAAATCAACTGTGGGTGCAATTATTAGGAAATGGAAGACATACAAGACCACTGATAATCTCCCTCGATCTGGGGCTCCACGCAAGATCTCACCCCGTGGGGTCAAAATGATCACAAGAACGGTGAGCAAAAATTCCAGAACCACACGGGGGGACCTAGTGAATGACCTGCAGAGAGCTGGGACCAAAGTAACAAAGCCTACCATCAGTAACACACTACGCCGCCAGGGACTCAAATCCTGCAGTGCCAGACGTGTCCCCCTGCTTAAGCCAGTACATGTCCAGGCCCATCTGAAGTTTGCTAGAGTGCATTTGGATGATCCAGAAGAGGATTGGGAGAATGTCATATGGTCAGATGAAACCAAAATATAACTTTTTGGTAAAAACTAAACTCGTCGTGTTTGGAGGACAAAGAATGCTGAGTTGCATCCAAAGAACACCATACCTACTGTGAAGCATGGGGGTGGAAACATCAAGCTTTGGGGCTGTTTTTCTGCAAAGGGACCAGGACGACTGATCCGTCTAAAGGAAAGAATGAATGGGGCCATGTATCGTGAGATTTTGAGTGAAAACCTCCTTCCATCTGCAAGGGCATTGAAGATGAAACGTGGCTGGGTCTTTCAGCATGTCAATGATCCCAAACACACCGCCCGGGCAACGAAGGAGTGGCTTCGTAAGAAGCATTTCAAGGTCCTGGAGTGGCCTAGCCAGTCTCCAGATCTCAACCCCATAGAAAATCTTTGGAGGGAGTTGAAAGTCCGTGTTGCCCAGCGACAGCCCCAAAACATCACTGCTCTAGAGGAGATCTGCATGGAGGAATGGGCCAAAATACCAGCAACAGTGTGAAAACCTTGTGAAGACTTACAGAAAACGTTTGACCTGTGTCATTGCAAACAAAGGGTATATAACAAAGTATTGAGAAACTTTTGTTATTGACCAAATACTTATTTTCCACCATAATTTGAAAATCCTACAATGTGATTTTCTGGAAAATTTTTTCTCATTTTGTCTGTCATAGTTGACGTGTACCTATGCTGAAAATTACAGGCCTCTCTCATCTTTTTAAGTGGGAGAACTTGCACAATTGGTGGCTGACTAAATACTTTTTTCCCCCACTGTATGGCTACAATATTGTGATCACTGCATCTGATGGATCTGGATACTGCTTTCAAGCACATTTCTGCAGCATTAGTAAAGCTGTGATCAATACATGTTAATGATTTCATTCATGTGCTGTTTGTAACTACCCTGGTAGGTTGACTGATAACCTGAACCAGGTTGCAGGCATTGGTTACATTTTGAAGCTTTTTCTTGAGTGGGTAGCTTGATGAAAGCCAGTCAATATTTAAATCACCCAGAAAATATACCTCTGTTGATATCACATACATTATCAAGCATTTCACACATGTTATCCAGATACTGACTGTTAGCACTTGGTGTTCTATAGCAGCTTCCCACAAGAATGGGCTTTAGGTGAGGCAGATGAACCTGTAGCCATATTACTTCAACAGTATTTAACATGAGATCCTCTCTAATCTTTACAGTAATGTGGTTCTGAATATAAACAGAAACACCTCCACCACTGGCATTTCAGTATTTTCTGTAAATGTTATAACCTTGTATTGCTACCACTGTATCATGAAAAGTATTGTCTAAGTGAGTTTCAGAGATAGTCAGAATATGAATTGCTGAATTGTATTTCCACCCACTCTTTATGATGCCTGACACAGTCAGTTTCAATTGGAGTTAGAGGCCTACATGTTGCAGCACTATTGAAATCTCCCCATGAGGATTGTACGGGACTCTTGTGCGTATGCACACACGCACACATGCACCAGTCACTGTTGACCAAGAAACATCTCGGGCTAGTCTGAACCTCACTTTCATACACTCTTTTTAAAGTCAATGTTTAGGATCAGCCCTGACAGGGTGTTTCGTCAAGCGTCTGTGCGTGTGCATGTGTGTGTGTCTATGGAATGACTCCAGTGGATGCGGGGGCTAGCCCTGACGTCACCCCTTTACACAATGCACAACAAGCAGACCTTTTGTCCCCATTATCCTCCCACACACTACTCATAATGTCCCGGACTCTTTATCTGAAGCAGAGGGAGGGAGAGAAAGAGGATCCTTTATCGTGGACTCAAAAAGGTCTGTTTCACGCCAATTCCTTCAATCAGAAATGATGACAGTAGGGATGTTAACGGTTAACCGTTAATCAGTTAGCCAGTGAAAATACATTTGACCTGTCATGCTTATCGGTCTATAGGTTCTTCATTCGGATGCATAGGCTATAGCCTGCCTACCTTTGACTATCAGCACGTCACCCACCACTTTGCAATGTGAGCTTGAGGCAGTATAATTGTTTGAAACCTGAATGTTTTACTTTACTTCAAATAATGAGGCATGTCTTACCTTGCTTCAAAGTAGCCTTGCGAAAATCCATCCATAGAAACGTGGAGGCAATTATTTTATAAAGAATTCCTCATGCCGTTAACCAGCATTTCTCTCCTGTTCTATTGGTTTTCATATCAACTTTCTTTTGTTGTCCAGAAGCCAAAAGCACAATCCTAGTCATACTAGCAACCCATCATAGTTGCTATTAGATTCCCCCTCTTTCTAAGTTTCTAACGGAGATGTTCATCTATCACGTGGAGCAACTCGCATTAGGTGCACAGTTTTTAGAACTGCGTTTTCCGCTAATTGCATTTGGGCAAGTGTTTGTTTGAAAATGTTGTTTTATTAGCTGCTTCATTACAGGAGTTGATGTTCAATAATAGGCTATAGCCTTTTGACTGTAAGACGATAGGCTTGCTATTGTTGCATGTTTCCATTAAGCCCTTAATGAAAAATGTCCGGTCCTTGTATGCATGCATAGTATCAGAGAGGAAGAGGTGAAGCGAGAGGTTTCACTCTTGACAAAATCGGTCCAAAATAAGTCCAATGCGTTTCTATGGGCTTATTTTGGGCCTAAGCTTGTCGCCTGCCTTCCCGCCTTGGGACGACTCCCATTGTTAGGGCGAAAACATCTCGTCATTATATACAGATCTCTGATAGTATTTTCTGTTGGTCACGTCATTTTACTGTTTGGAAAAAATATAACCGTTTGTTGACTGGTTAATGAGGGTCAGTTAGTCAGCAGCAAAATTGACCGAAATTTGTGTCCCTAGATGACAGTTTAACCACGCTACAGCAATGTGTGCAGTATTATGCCCACACAAGTTTTACATTGACCTACATGTCTTAATCTTTCAGTAGTCTTTGAGTTGGAGAGCTGAAATCAATATTATTAATTTGAACCACCAGGAGATGTCAGTCAGTTGGTTGGCTGGCTGCTCAGTCTTTGGGTTAATAAATATTGTTCACCCCAACTCCTCAGAGTATCTGGTTGTTGAGATGTTGACTGAGTTCCAGGTCTGTACTGTAAATGAAACTGTTCTCAGTCAAGTTACCTTCTATGAAATTAATTCTCAGATAATTCTCAGCTCTGAGTTTGTGGAGGCGAAAGAAAGGCTTGGGTAGCTGGCAGAGGCTTACCAGATGTGAAGGGAGGGAGGAGAACAATTGAGAGGGGGATGGTAGGGTGGGTGACATAGGGAAACTGATTACATGGAAAGGGATAAAGGAGGCAGGGTTGAAGTTTGTCACACGATCCTAGTACCAGGTGGCAGAGAGGCTGGCAAGGCTTGCCAGGGAACACTGGATTACAGCGCTTCATTACACCTTCCCCCTCTTCCCTCCCTCCAGGCTCTCCTCCATCTACCCCTTTCCCCTCCTCTCTCCCGGCCCCTGGGCCAGGGAATGTGTCGGGCCCCGGAGATGCCTTACGTGGATCGGCAGAACCGGATCTGTGGCTTCCTGGACATCGAGGAAAACGAGAGCAGTGGGAAGTTCCTGCGCCGCTACTTCATTCTGGACACCCAGCCGGGCAGCCTGGTGTGGTATATGGATAACCCTCAGGTAACATACAGCTGGCTAGCATTAGCTGTTAGCATTGTGGATGTTACTCGTAGGGATGTGCATTTTGAAATAATATATATTACAGTTAACTGCCAAAATAAAGGAAACTCCATAAAGTGTCTTAATAGGGCGTTGGGCCACCACAAGCTGCCAGAACAGCTTCAATGCGCCTTGCCATAGATTATAAAAGTGTCTGGAACTCTATTGGAGGGATGCAACACCATTCTTCCACAATACATTCTATCATTTGGTGTTTTTTTGATGGTGGTGGAAAACTCTCAGGCACCGCTGTAAAATCTGTCACAAGTAGGGTCCTATAAAAGCTGTTTAATTTTTTCCAAAATTTCGTTTTATTTTTCCAGGTTTCCATTTCCCCCTGTTTTTTCAGTTTTTATTTTCCAAAATCACACTTTTTTTAATAGAACATCCAATTTAGGTGTTTTTCTATGTCAACAACAATGCTTAAACCACATCAGGACACCATGTTTTAGGTTTAGGACATTTTCTTTTTTTTAGTTATATTGACTATATCCGTTTTAGCTCGCTCATTGTCTTAATCCTCTCATTGTTCCCTTATGCCATAGTTTGTACATCTCAATTGTCAGTAGAAACCACATTTGTTTAAGCAAGTCAGCTATATCAGCTATGTTTTTTAAAAAGGCAGTAAATGAGGCTGAATGAACTGTTTCACTGCCAGACTCTGCTGATATCCAGGTGTAGCTGTGATAAGGATTCACTCCATGTGCTGAAAATAAAGCTTTGCTGTTGGGACAGCTTTATGTAGGCCATAACAGTTTTTGGGCACCGTTTGTCACCGTTATAGTGCAATTAATGTATTGTGTTGTGTAGTGGCTTTGCTGGCATGCATCAACAAATCTTTTTTGGAGTTTGCCCCACCAAGATTGACATGCTAAAATCGCCACTGCTAGTAAGAAGTGATGTGGTATAATCCTAAATTGTATAACATTTTTGTGACCGGAGTCTTTTTTTGAGAACTCTGTTTATTAAGTTTTACACACACACAGACAAGACAAAGCAATATAAATAATATACTCAACTAGACAAAAATACAAATAATACATATAAAAAAAAATAAAAAAAAATAACTTTAAAGATACCATACTTTAGACAAGTTACACACACCAGGCAGAAGGCTACAAAAGGTTAAAGGGCAATCTATAGTATAGGGACAGAGCAAACACCTCACCATTGTTCCTGTAAACAGTTAAGGGATGGGGTGGAGAAATGCAACCACTCACAGACAGTCAAGGCCACAGACCAATCATCTACTGGACCAAAAATAAAAAGTTACAATGCTTTAAAATAAAAAATGAATATTGATAATTTTATGTAGGCGTGAACAGAATTAAAAAAATAAAAATAACTGGGAAAAACAAGCTCACACCTTAGTCTCTGCCCGGGCGAGATGAACAAGGCATCCGCAGGTCACAATCAATAAGCACATCAACCTTAATGCCCCCCACCCCCACCCCAGAAAAAAAAACACAGAGAAATGCTCATCCAACCCCTAAGTCACAGGGGGGTCAAATACAGACTTATTTTGGTTTTAATAGGAATGCTATCAGAGGATGGACTGTTTAAAGTAAGATCGGAATGGAGCCCAAGCCTCATTAAACAGTTTGGGGTTCCCACGTGAATTGAATTTAATTTTTTCTAGTTTCAGAGAGCACAACACGTCTCTCACCCAATATTTATAAGATGGGGGAGCTGCCATCTTCCAGTTCTGTAGTATTAGCCGTCTAGCTAAAAGAGTTGTATAAGCAACAGTGTCCGACTGGATTCTTGACAGGGGGGTGCTTATGGGCAGTACTCCAAAAAGGGCTGTAAGGGGAGAGGGATCTATAACAGTGTTATATATATCAGAGAAACATTTAAATATTAATTCCCAGAAACCTGACAGTTTATGACAGCCCCAGAACATATGCAACAGTGTGGCCGGTTCAATTTTACATCTGACACAGGTAGGATCAAAATCAGAGAATATTCTTCCAAGTCTGGCCCCAGACCAGTGGATACGGTGAACCACCTTGAATTGAATGAGGCTGTGTCTAGTGCTAAAAGAGGACGAATGCACCCTGCGCAGCACAGATTCCCAGGTGTCTTCCCCAAGTTCCTCCCCCAAATCCTTTTCCCATCGAGTCTTTAAAGGCACCAAAGAAGGGTTCTGTAAGTCATGAATGATTGCATATACATCTGAAATTGCGCCCCTAGGAAGCTTGTTCAGCTCCAGGATGCTCTCTATAGCTGTATTCACAGGCCTATGGGGAAATTCAGGTGTGTTAGCTCTGACAAAGTTCCTAGTCTGGAGATAGCGGAAAAAGTGGGATTGGGGGAGGTTGAACCTTTCCTGTAGCTGAGCAAAAGAGGCAAATGTATCATCAAAGAATAATTGGGCTAGTGAGGAGAGGCCTAGTGAGTGCCAGATGTCAAAAGCCCCATCATTCAAAGATGGAGGAGTGACCGGAGTCTTTTAACCAAAATATCACTGAGACAGATGTTCAGCTGCCCCTTTAAGGGCAGGAGGTTACCGTGGCAACGAGGGCACTCCAGCTGCTGGAGTCTACAACCACAGTGCGCACAGCTCCCCACCAGGCAGTCTTGATGTGCAGTGCGCACTGAAGCCGTAGATGTCCGAGTTCCCAGTTGTTTTGAACACAGCATTAGTCTCAGTGGAGGGAGGGAGAGAATAGCAGAGGGTCAGCCTCTCACGATCCCTGCCATCTCCTTCCTTTCCTCCAGTGAGACTGACCAGAGAGGGGGGACACTGTCTTCCACCTGATGTTGTTCCTAAGACCAGAGAAAGTGACATTTTCCTCTATATTAAAATAGACATGACGAGCTGCTAATATAATAATAAATATCCTGAGCTTTCTTATCTCTTTGATATAGGACAGACACTTAAAACCTTATTCCTTATTTATTTTTTTATACTTTTTTTTGCCATTCATGAATGTGTTATTCAATGTGTTTCTATATGCTATAGTAGTAAAGGCCAAATTCAATATTTTATCAAATCACTTTTAAATATATATATTTTTATGCCTAAAGGGGTCCTAAAATTCTAAATCAAATAGCCAAATGATCTATGGTATGACCTTAAAACAATTCCATTTGTCAGCTTAGAACCGTCAGCAACAGGTGTGGCTGAAATAGCCGAATCCACTCATTTGAAGGGGTGTCCATATACTTTTGTATATATAGTGTAGCAATCTCAATTACCTCATACCCCTGAACATCGTCTCGGTACTGGTACTCCCTGTATATAGCCATGATGTTTTTACGATTAATTGTCATGCAAATGGCTCAGTTATCGTCATAATTGTCATTTTTGTTAAAATGTTTTGTGCTTGTAATGCATCTTTGAAAAATAGCTACGACATACCTAATGAATTAAAAACCGCTTTGGTGACACCTGCCTGAGTATTTGGAACTTTTGGAAATGAAGCTTCTCCTCCCGACCTCGCTTTTCTGCTCGTAAAATATTTACCAACTTTACCCACTTCATGTAAAAATTAAATACTGCTATTGGGTAAATGATATCTACTTGAATATAAAGTTGGATCCCCCCTATGAATATTAAGACTATTATGATTTATTTTGTTCACGGTTATTGTCCGTAATTGTCGGTTATATGATAACTGTGCCAGCCCTACATTTACATTTACATTTTAGTCATTTAGCAGACACTCTTATCCAGAGCGACTTACAGTTAGTGAGTGCATACATTTTCATACTGGCCCCCCGTGCCCTACAAGCTTAACAGACTTAGCGAGTGTGCTAAAACATAATTCATTCATGCCTTATGCAGAGAGTGAATAATTCACGCATGTTCTTTTTATAGAGATGAAAATCTTAAAGTTCAATCAGAATCTCAATAACAGACCAAAGTAGCCTAAATCCACTCTTGTTCTCATTTTTTCTTGACGTTTCCCCCAACCCACTGTCTCTTCTTTAGAATACCCCAAATGCATAATATGAGCGCACCCCGCATATAAGGTCATGTTTTGCATCAGGGTTTATAACAATATACAATATTCAATGGTATCTAATAGTTCTTCACCCAACTTTTTCCTGTATAGAACCTGCCCATTGGTGCAGACTGTGTTGGCTCACTCAAACTCACATACATCTCCAAGGTAAGAGCTTTGCTAATACATTTGCACATCATTGATTTTATACTGTGTCTCGATAGGTGCTTGTTGAAAAAGGGATATTAATATACACTGAGTATACCAAACATTAGGACATTCCTAATATTGAGTTGCACCCCCCACCCTTTGCCCTCAGAACAGTCTCAATTTGTTGGGCCATGGACCTCTACAAGGTGTCGAAAGTGTTCTTGACACAAACCAGTGTGCCTGGCACCTAATACTTCTTTAACCTGTCTTCTCCCCTTCATCTACACTGATTTGAAGTGGATTTAACAAGTGACATCAATAAGGGATCACAGCATTCATCTGGTCACTCTGTCATGAAAAGAGCAGGTGTTGTTAATGTTTTATATACTCAGTGTACATTCACTGTGAGCAATCATTCATTGTGGTTTTTGTACTTCTCTTGCCTCGTAGGTCAGCGATGCCACTAAGCAAAGACCAAAGGCAGAGTTTTGCTTTGGTAAGATTGTTTTGAGAATAACTATTCTCTTTCCTCTGTTCCTCTGCTCAATTCATATGGAAATGTTTGCAACTTATCTGGGCTTTTTATGACCTCTTCAGTATTTTTAAACCATAGCCATAGATGACACCTAAAGTTCCATTAGTTATATGGCCATGGGCTCTTTATCCCAGTTGTGTGAGCTGAATTGGCCAAATTATGAAATCATATGGGGGTAGCGGAGTCTGTGTTTCTGTCCAGCAATACATCCATATCTTTTCAGGATTGACAATGACATATGTCTGCCCTGACAGATGCCACCATGTACACAAGGCTAGAGTGTTTAGATTCACTTGAACCTGAGGGAGGAATGCATCCTTCTTGCCCTTCTCTCACCTCTTTCACTTCGGCTTGCTTTCCCCTTGGCATGCTAAGGACAACCCTGTTTAGCTTCAACAGAGGCATGCAGGGTAGCAGCTGACCAGTGTACTTACTGTACATGGTCCCTTCTTGCGCTCTTGGTTTATCTGGTTCAGAGGAAAGTGTGTGTGTCAGCATTAAAGCCGATTTATGGTCATTCCGGATTCTGCATTACAGAGCCCTCCGTGTTGGAAAAACATTTGGGAGGCGCACAGCGATGCAGTACGGAGCTTGATTTGGCCTTCACAAGCCTCCGGAGGCTCCGCAGTTGCGTCACACGGAGCCTCAGGACCATATTGCCAGATCAAGCGTAAATCTGCTTTTAGGCTTGGGTGGTATACCGTTTACCGGCGTAGTTGAAAATAGCCACTGGATGTTTGTTTTTGTCAATACCGTCAATACCGTTTTGGTAATATTTATTTTGAAGTTATTTAATACATTTGAATATATGTAGCTACTTTTTAACCTCTTAGATGTAAAGTCCCCTGTTTAAGGGACCTGCGTGGTTCTGGTACTGGTTTCAACCAACATTTTTGCTTATAAATTGATCTGTGGACACAATAGATTGAAATGGCCAATAGCCCTGGTTCACACGGACACAGTAGTATATTTCTTTAGCCTGTGTGACGTAGGATGTGAAATCTGAAACCACTTGAGGCTGGGATGTCCCTCCTACCATTTAATTCGCTCTTCCGACTGTCCATCAAATCCTGGCTGAACCCTACATCACAGCCACTGACAAAGCACATGCTTGCAATCCTTACATCGTAGTGCAGCAGGAGAGTGGTTTCATCACTGTAGCACATTCAGAGATCGATTTACAGCCATTAATCTAAAATAGTTACCGAGATTTTAAACAAGAAAAACACTTTTAGACAGACAATATTAATGAGATGAAAGGTGACTTCCTAGCGAGTTCAGGATTCCAAGCTAGAGCTCTTTGAGACGTTCAGCGATCGGGGCAGACGTTTTGATCAAGAGAGACCTTTTGAAAATAAGCAACGTTTCTCTAACACTAAACATACAAATATGTATTTTACAGTTATAAGGAAGGTGAAATCTTAGTCATTTTATAATTTGATTATACTATATTTAGAAAGCATATGTCATTTCAAGCCTTATTCATACAGTTTTGTTGAATAGGAAATACATCATAAAATATTTAATATTTTAAATATATCTGTACTGTATACTTGAACTTGCGTCCTCAAAGGTGACTATACCTCAGTCATTTATAACTATTTTTACCAGAAAGGTGAGATTTTAACCTTTATTTGAGTATGCAGCATTACTAGTTATTGTTTATGGCCCTCTCATGTTAAACAATAACTTTTGGGGGTTACGTAGATTACATTTAACTGCTTTTAAATAATTACCTGCAGTCCTCTTGTGCAATACGTTAGGAGATACGTTTTTCGATTTGAAGCTTACCGGTAGTCCCCAGTTAGGTGGTGTTTGTTTAAAAGCACACAACGACGAGAGAGCCTTGTGAGTCATCACCTGGCGTGTGCTGCAAAACAGTGATCTATATACAGTATGGAATTCACAACTACAGTTGAAGTCGGAAGTTTACATATACCTTAGCCAAATACATTTAAAATCAGTTTTTCACTATTCCTGACATTTAATCCTAGTAAAAATTCTCTGTCTTATGTCAGTTAAGATCACCACTTAATTTTAAGAATGTGAAATGTCAGAATAATAGTAGAGTGATTTATTTCAGCATTTATTTATTTCATCAGATTCCCAGTGGGTCAGAAGTTTACATACGCTTAATTAGTATTTGGTATTATTGCCTTTAAATTGTTTAACGTGGGTCAAACATTTCGGGTAGCCTTCCACAAGCTTCCCACAATAAGTTGGGTGAACTTTGTCCCATTCCTACTGATAGAGCTGGTTTAACTCAGATTTGTAGGCCTCCTTGCTCGCACACGCTTTTTCAATTCTGCCCACACGTTTTCTATAGGATTGAGGTCAGGGCTTTGTGATGGCCACTCCAATACCTTGACTTTGTTGTCCTTAAGCCATTTTGCCACAACTTTGGGAGTATGCTTGGGGTCATTGTCCATTTGGAAGACCCATTTGCAACCAAGCTTTAACTTCCTGACTGATGTCTTGAGATGTTGCTTCAATATATCCACATAATTTTCCTTCCTCATGATGCCGTCTATTTTGTGAAGTGTACCAGTCCCTCCTGCAGCAAAGCACCACCACAGCATGATGCTGCCACCCCCGTGCTTCACGGTTGGGATGGTGTTCTTCGGCTTGCAAGTACCCCCTTTTTCCTCCAAACATAGCGATGGTCATTATGGCAAACAGTTATATTTTTGTTTCATCAGACCAGAGGACATTTCTCCAAAAAGTACGATCTTTGTCCCCATATGCAGTTGCAAACCGTAGTCTGGCTTTTTTATGGTGGTTTTGGAGCAGTGGTTTCTTCCTTGCTGAGCGGCCTTTCAGGTTATGTCGATATAGGACTCGTTTTACTGTGGATATAGATACTTGTACCTGTTTCCTCCAGCATCTTCACAAGGTCCTTTGCTGTTGTTCTGGGATTGATTTGCACTTTTCGCACCAAAGTACGTTAATCTCTAGGAGACAGAACGCGTCTCCTTCCTGAGCGGTATGACGGCTGCGTGGTCCCATGGTGTTTATACTTGTATACTATTGTTTGTACAGATGAACGTGGTACCTTCAGGCGTTTGGAAATTGCTCCCAAGGATGAACCAGACTTGTGGAGGTCTACAATTTCTTTTCTGAGGTCTTGGCTGATTTCTTTTGATTTTCCCATGATGTCAAGCAAAGAGGAATTGAGTTTGAAGGTAGGCATTGAAATACATCCACAGGTACACCTCCAATTGACTCAAATGATGTCAATTAGCCTATCAGAAGCTTCTAAAGCCATGACATCATTTTCTGGAATTTTAAAGGCACAGTCAACTTAGTGTATGTAAACTTTTGACCCACTGGAATTGTGATACAGTGAATTATAAGTGAAATAATTTGTCTGTAAACAATTGTTGCATGCATAAAGTAGATGTCCTAACCGACTTGCCAAAACTATAGTTAGTTAACAAGAAATTTGTGGTTGAAAAAGTGGTTGAAAAACGAGTTTTAATGACTCTAACCTTCTGACTTCAACTGTAAATGTTTGCCAGCTAGATATTTTATAACTATTAAGTTAACATTCTAAAATGTACAAAATGCTTTGCAATTGTACATTTGGTTTGATAATTTAGTAGCTAGTTGACTATCTAGTGAAGTGGTTAGCTTCTTCCAAAATCAAGCTTCGCTTGGTAACAGCAGAGAATCCCCTCCTGGATCAAGAGCCTCGCTGTGTAATATTTGTTTTGTGCATACAGCAAACTGAGTATAATATGTTTTATTTGTATAGCTTTGTGAGCTGGGATATATGTCCTTCAAGTAGGTCAGTGGCTCAGTGGGGTTTGAAAATAGTGCCACTTGTGTTGAGTTCCGGTATTACCGAATATCCCGAGATGGCACAAGGTTGGTATTAAGGTATGACAATCTGGATACCGCCCAAGCCTAGTCCGCATCCCCCCCCTTCATCCTCAATCAGAGGAAACACTACTTTGACTGCCCCGGTCATCACGACAGTTGTCTGTGTGTGTGTTGGGGTTTTGACAGGATGCTGGCATCCTAATCGGAACCCATTCTGAAAAGTCTGGGGTATTTTTAAACTACTGTTTGCGTGTAATGTTTTGTTGATTTCCACAATTATTACCACCGTGCCTCTCTACCTCCCATGTCTTAAAAGTAGCTCTTAATGGGTGTTTTCAGGAAAAGCTGTTTGGGAAAGTTTGGGAAAGGCAGTCATACTTCCAGATGGGCTTACAGTAAAATGAGGGTCAGAGTGGCACGTTATGATTCATGTCCATATGTGTGTGGCTCTGATGCTGCTGTGTGACTCAACCACACACGTTTTGTGTGTATGATCGCAGCTGTGAGTCAGATCTTAGACCTCCCCTCCCAGCTTATTATTCACTTATTTTGATAGCCCCCACCACCCGTGGTACACGCACCCCTTCAGCCAGACTGTGTTGGTACAGCTTAAAGTGGGGTAAATTGTACATGGTAACATGGCATACACACCCCTGTCAGATTATACAATTTTAGTTTATTCTTGTTTCAATTATGGCACTTTTAGATTAATGGATAGCCTAATCTTTATTTTTTCCGTGGCCTCAGTATGTTTAACAAAATGCCCATGCCATGTCTGCCTGTTACTGATTCTATCCCACTCATTAATCACTCATTTATTCCACAGCATTAATGCTCAATCAATGTTCATGATCTCTCTGCTTTCAGTTTCCATCAGTGTGGGATTTGTGTGGACATAACAAGTGGGGATGTGACTTGTGAACAGGACTCTAAAGTGCGACCATTTTATTCTCAAATATTTTACTGTGCTAGAATTTTTGTAATGATTAGGCTTCGCTGTACTGCTGTTTCTGAGTGACCTAGAGCACAGATTCGTGACCATGGTGGTTGCACCATTACTACAGAGAACCACTTGTCTCAAAAGTTGTCACCATATTACCGGCACAAAGTTGTTTTCCTTCTATAGCACATTGGCGCTGCAGCTGGCCTGGATGCATCTCCGTTTACATTTACATTTACATTTTAGTCATTTAGCAGACGCTCTTATCCAGAGCGACTTACAGGAGCAATTAGGGTTAAGTGCCTTGCTCAAGGGCACATTTACGTCATTTAGCAGACGCTCTTATCCAGAGCGACTCACCAATTGGTGCGTTCCGTTGGCGGGTCGCATATAACATTCATAAACTGTCGCCGGCTGATCCAAAACCACTTGCGGGCCGTTAACACCTTGTTCCGTCATGTTACCTCTAGTCCAGCGGATATGTGAAATAATTGTTCCATTTTATGATACAAGTATCAAACTTGGTACACTAATACTAGATACCTTCAGGAACATTTTAAAGATTGGAGGCAGTCTGGGAAGCCTGTCAGATTTCCTGTTAGAAGAAAATAGGGTAAAATGAAGAGAAAGAGGTGAAGCTAGAGGGATAATAATAGCCCAAAATCGGTCTTCTCCAGCAGGTGCCGTTTTTTCATATGTTTTTGCTCACCAAGCTAGATGTTTTTGTATGGCGGTCAATGAGTGTCGAATTTACCGGTGCTAAGTGTGGCTTATTTGATCTAATAGAAGTTTCATAATGCTTAGGTTGTTATGAGTGTACTGATGTAACTTTGAGAAAAAACACTTTATTTCGGAGTTGTGCCTGTTGTTCACACGCATATAGCCCTTTCATTGGCCCACCTGATCTTGCCTCCTCCCAACTGTCTTCCATTTTTGAAGACAGTTATTTTCATTGTTAGAGTGGCCACTTGATTAAAGGGGGAGAAACTGACTGACTGACTGTATACAGGGGATACAGAGTCAGCGTAGCAGATGTGTTGTTGCCTACCCTTACCACCTGGGGGTGGCCCGTCAGGAAGTCCAGGATCCAGTTGCAGAGGGAGGTGTTTAGTCCCAGGGTCCTTAGTTTAGTGATGAGCTTTGTGGGCATTATGGTGTTGAACGCTGAGCTTTAGTCAAAGAACAGCATTCTCACATAGGTGTTCCTTTTGTCCAGGTGGGAAAGGGCAGTGTGGGGTGCGATTGAGATTGCATCATCTGTGGATCTGTTGGGGCGGTATGCGAATTGGAGTGGGTCTAGGGTTTCTGGGATGATGGTGTTGATGTGAGCCATGACCAGCCTTTCAAAGCACTTCATGGCTACCGACGTGAGTGCTACGGGGCGGTAGTCATTTAGGCAGGTTACCTTCACTTTCTTGTGCACAGGGACTATGGTGGTCTGCTTGAAACATGTAGGTATTACAGACTTGGTCAGGGAGAGGTTGAAAATATCAGTGAAGACCGTGCATGCTCTGAGTACACGTCCTGGTAATCCATCTGGCCCCTCTGCCTTGTGAGTGTTTAAAGGTCTTGCTCACATCGGCTACGGAGAGTGTGATCAGACAGTCCTCCGGAACATCTGGTGCTCTCATGCATGCTTCAGTGTTGCTTGCCTCGAAGCGAGCATAAAAGGCATTTAGCCCGTCTGGTAGGCTCGGCTATAATGTAATTTAACCCATTGATCAGAAGGGGAGAAGATGAAAGTAGAGGAAGGGCTGAAGAATCAAGAGATAACGATATATGGAGACAGGAGCGCTCTCTGTTCCAGAATCACTGGTTCAGAGCTAATCAGGATTTGACCTTAAACCCCTTTGTGATTGACAAGTGTGTGTGTGTGTGTGATTTGTGATAGCCTCAAGCCCTTCTTGTTAACATAGCGGTGGATGGTCGTTACAGAGTGGGCTGCTGATGGCTTTGATGCCATTTTCCACTCTCATATAATGGACCCAATGCTCCTGCTATGCCCTGTCCTATTGGTAACAGCAGACAATCCACTCTATTCCCTCTCAACCAAGCTCTAATTAAGCTACAGTATTTTATCTTGTCAAACAAACAATATTTTTAATGTTGTCAACTTTGAATTGGGTCACTCACTATTGTGTCTTCCATCTTCTCTTTCTTGGCCTTTCCATTCCTCTTTCTCAGTCATCAACGCTGGCATGAGGAAATTCTTCCTCCAGGCCAATGATCAGCAGGACCTGGTGGAATGGGTGAATGCTCTCAACAAGGCCACCAAAATCACTGTGAGTCTCACTAGATTCTGCATTGTCTTCTATTACTAAGGACCTGAAGACCTAGCCTAGTCCTCTTTAGAAAACGATGTTTTCCTGTTAATGACTGAATATTTCCTTTTAAAGTGAGTAACAGCTCAATATTTAACTTGTGTGTGAGTCAGTGACTCACAGGATGGTGTATTGTTGGTAGAGACCTTTTTGCCTTTGGTTTGGGGGAGCTGTGCAGTACTCCCACTCTACTCTTGGAATCTCTCCATCCTCACAAAGGGCTAGAAACAGGAGTGGATGTCTGCGGAAGTCTTTAACCAACATACACAGAAATATGGTTGTCATAAGGTGTTATCCCCCCTGAAACAGTCACAGAATCAAGGTCTACTGTACATGTTATGAATGTTTGTCACACTGTTTTCTCTTGCAGGTGCCAAAGTCATGTAATGCCCAACAGAATGTGGAGAACCAGAAAGCTCTTCTGGATATCCTGGGGCCCAAGAAGCAGGTCTCCTACAGGACTGACATCATTGGGGGAGTTCCCATCATCACCCAGACGCAGGTAGCCAAGGCTAGCCGCCCCACCTATCCCTAACCCTAGCTAGTTGCATGTCAATAGAGTTGCAGTTGATAGTTTGAGCATCTACAGACCTTCTTTAGGGGACTATCCAAATAAAGTGGGACTGACTGTGCCATAATGACTTATGTCTACCCCCATAACTCAGCCTGACTAGATATTGCCTTACCTAGTGAGCCTCTTATTAAGTTGTAAATAATATTTCCCTCCAATAGCAGGAAGGGGGCGAGGGCCAGGAGGGTTCGGAGCGAGAGTTGCTGCGGAGGTCGTACAGCCAGCTGCCATACTTTCTGGGCAGGCCGACCCAGGACCGGACGGTCATCAAGTCTGGCTACTGTGTGAAGCAGGGAGCTGTGGTGAGTGTAGTGGACTATGGTTGTGTACAGTGAGGGGCTCTGAGTTTGGGGTCTGGTGGGTAAAAGTATGAGGCCATGAGAATGAGGAAGTCTTATTTTGCGCTCTTTTCTTTTCCCCAGATGAGAAATTGGAAAAGGAGATATTTCTTACTGGAGGATAACACCATGAGTTACTTCAAATCAGATCTGGTAAGTAATTTTCATTAACAAAAAATTACGTACGCACTCACACACACACACACACTCACAGTGGGTTTGTCCTCTTGTCCTGACACGCTCCACCTCAAGTCCCTGGAATCTTGTGCCACTGCTACACATGTCCTATCATGCCCCTGACTCTGTGCCCTACCCTACACACACACACACACACTCCACGAAGCACTTCCACGCTTGCCCATATTTTGCACCAGCATGTGTCTATTTGGCATCAACAGTGCCCAAGGACACAGTCTTTCTCCCTTGTCTTCCAAATATACTGTATCAATAAGGTCTTGGAAATTGTTTTTTCTCAACAAAGAGGATTCCAAAAGACTGTGGAGCAAGTGTCATAAGGATATAGCACACATTATAGCAGTATGTTATACATTTTGGGCTCTTAAAATAGAATGTTAATTTTCATTTTCTTGAACCCCTCCCCCTCTCTCTTCAGGAGAAGGAGCCTCTCAGAATGATTCCGTTGAAGGAGGTCCACAAAGTTCAGGAGTGCAAACAGAGGTACTGCACAACTCTCAACATTCTCATGGTTGAAGGAAGCCTCTACATCCACATATATCGCATGTAGCCAACTTTGATTTTGATCACTGTTGGCTTTGTATTTCCAGTGACATCATGATGAGGGATAATCTCTTTGAGGTCGTCACCACTTCTAGGACTTTTTACATTCAGGTGAGAAGAGACCAGACATCTTTTTACCAACGCTCTATTACATAATGTCTAAATGAGGGATGGGCAACTTTGATATGGGTGGGGGCCACAAAAAATCTGAACTAATGATGAGGGGCCGCAGTGGCCGCTGGCGTACCACCCGGGGGGGCCACAGCCATACACGGGCTGAAATCAGTTGATGATAGGACATAGACAAGTTGTAAATGCAACAAGTACTGATATTGTATCATCTAATAGTACTCACAGCTTTCCAAGAAAACAAAAATGTAAACATGTATGGTCTGTTTACATATATTTTAAAGGCTCTTTATACAGAAAATGTGTATAAAACCTGTATAAACTGTATTTATGATTATATAACAATATTTTAGGTTGACAATAATTATATTACACAATTTTTGATATCTCCTGCATAAGTAAAATCAGGATTATGCCTCTACTGCCATTCATTCCAATTAGACTGGTTTGATATTCTCCCTGACTAATATGTCTGCCATTTTCATCCCATTCTGTAATTTTGAGGGTTTATGACATAGCCCCTCTGGTAATTTAATAGAATCTCAGGTAATTACTATAGCTGCTGCCTTGGGCCAATCAGTGTAATTCTGTAAATGCTGGCTCTCTATGGCAAGACGCATAATTTACCCAAAGAATCGGCCCAGTGCTGTCTGAGATATCACGTGTGATGAACGTACGTACGGTGACAGGTCCACAGTCCCCTCCCCGATTTCATCGTGGGGGACAATTAGCAGTTTTACAGCTAATTTCCTGCAATTCTACACATTTTGCCCTAACTTCTGCCATGTTTATATGATATCTGAGTGAGAGTGACTTTTAAAATCATTAATTCGACCATGATTACTGCAAAATGTTTGCTGACATGGGCTAATTCAGTGACTGGCAGGTGCTTTTCATCATGAATTGTGTTCTGAAAGCAGCTCTGCAGAGTGGGCACTAGCTGGCAGAACCACAAAGTCATACAATCTGATTTTAAACCTGCCCCTAACCTTAACCACACGGTTAACCCTAATGCCTAACTTTAAATTAAGAACAAAAAGCTCATTTTTGGCCTATCGAAGGGGATATCGCTCAGTTCTGCCTCCAGGACAAGACTTGTGACAATAAACGTCAACCTGCGACTGTCAGTGACTGACATAACACGAGAAAAACTGCTGATGCACAATCACATTTCGAAATCAAACCTTGTGTATTCTACTATTGTAACTCAACCATAAATTGAGAACCCCAATAATTTGTTTAAAATATTTTGGGAAAATTGATCCGCAAGCCTGCAAAAGCCTGCGGGCAGCCAGTTGCCCATCCCTGGTGTAGATTAATGTCAAGAAATGTCCCCCTTCAGTATATTTATTTCCCTCACCCCTGACTCTCCCCACTTTAATATTTGCCCCTTATCCCCACTCCCTTCCTCCATCCAACTGCCTCATTCTCCCCTGTCTCCTCTTTCCTTGCAGGCTGACAGTCCAGAGGAGATGCACAGCTGGATCAAGGCTGTCTCTGGGGCCATCGTAGCCCAGCGGGGACCTGGGAGATCTGCAGCCACAGTATGTAACCACCCTACAGGCCACTGGGATGACTGCATGCTCTGTCACTTCTGTCCAGTCTCCTGTCTGTCTGGTCCTTAGTGATACTGATCTGTTCTCCATTTGTGTCACGTGTTCATGGCAGCCCAAGCCAAGAGGGATTGTTCAGACACACACCACACACACACAAACAGTGAGGATGCAGGGAGGAGTGAAAGTATGTGTCACATTCTGTACTGACTGCAGAGGGTAGAGGTTGGCATCCTCTCCCAGGTCCCCCTCCTACTGTAGGTGTTTGCCCTCTTTGTGACAGTGGTATTGCATAGACAATCACCACATCAGGGTTTCCGTTAGGAAAATTTGGCACCGGATATTTGACTGGCAGCATTTTCATTTACCGGACATTTGAGAAATTTACCAGACCCATATCCATGGGTGCGTAACCTGATAAGGGCGTCCACCCAGTGTGCTCAAAATGACAGAAATCACTTTTAGATTATGGTAATTCATCTTAACAGAACATGCAACTCGAGGATGCGCGTCCTTCTTACCAAATTCTGATGTGCGTTTGAAGATGTTAGAATAACTGTCCACATTTACTTTTCCTCAGCCAACAAGACGAGTAATGAACAGCAACATCACTAGTCTATGTCAATCTACTATCCCCCATAGTAGAAAAGTGTTCCTATTCTATTGGTCAGCTTGTCATTCTGTGCGAGAAGCCTATTCCGAACAGACTCTGGGACAGTTGTGGGATGATAGTTCCCAAATTCATCCAACCGGTAGCCTAGGCTACATCCAAAACACGTTAAAAAGCGATGAGGCTGATGCACCAGATCAGACCGTTTTAGCTTAAAATGTTGATACTATTATTTCTTCACATTATAAGAGCAGATATGCGCACAAGGCAGTAGGCTACTTGTTGGTTCCATAATGCAGTTAGCAATAAAACACATGCGAGCGGTTTCATGAGACCGAGATGAAAATATCTGTTTGAAAAAGGGGAGATGTCTGATTTCAAATGAAGGAGCTAAGAACATTAACAACTTCATAGTTAAGAACATTCAAAAAATATGGAAGTAAATTAAACGGATTCTACAATAATCAATATCACTCCCTAAACCCCCCCCCCCCCCCCCCCCCCCCCATTATTTCCATTACAGAATTAAAAAGCAATTTTGAACTGACTAATGTTGATATTTTCAAAATACATGCAACATAAAAGTTTCGTATCATGACATTTTGATCTAAAATCTTTTGGACATCAGAACAATGTTGAGGGAATTCTATTTGAGCCAGAAAATGATACTCATATGAGAGTTAATATATACAAAACCTTGCAGAAAGCCTATCCAACTGACAATCTCTTAGAAGAAATAGAAACTATTGGAACCAAGACCTAGAAAGATCTGAAATTGGCACAAGATGGAGGGAGTGTTGGAACAAAACTAACGAAATTACAGTTAATTAAAATGTATGCTTAATCCAGTATAAACGAATGTACATAATTTATTATACAAGAGACAAAATTCACAAATTCTACAGCACAACGGCAGAGTCATGTCTTAAGCGTAAAACTAACACTGACTTGATGGTTCATGCCTTCTGGGAGTGCTATAAAGTCCAAAAGTTATGGATGGAGTTAGAAAGTTGGCTGTCAGACGTTTTACAATATAAATGTACTTTTATTCTGTCTGTCTGTATATTTCAAGACATGGCATATGCAGGTGTGGTGAGATACCCAATGGGTTGGACCGTACTTTTCTCATCAATCATTTTGAAAAATGTTTTGCTTAAACTGGAAATCAAATGATCCTGCATCGTTGGGATGGTGGAAGAATCAAATGCATTATTATTTGAATATTGAAAGGGTGTGGGCGACAGAGAAGGGCAGAGTGGCGCAGTTTAAGGTCATGTGGAATAGAGTATTGCAGGCGCTGGAGATGGAAGCATGTGGGTCTGGGCAGATGTGATGTTGTTGAAGTTTGCGTGCGTCTGTCTTATCTTTTGTCTATGTAGATATTATTTGACAAACAAAATTAAATCATACAAAAAAGAAAGAGGGGAGATCTTTTGGTTGCTGGACAATGAAAGAAAGTTGATTTGAAAGCCAATAGAACATCAGAGAAATAGGCTACTGGTTTCAATGGCATATGAAAGTCTTCCTAAAATAATTGCCTCGTTTGGTCATATTTTGGCTAGGCTACTTTGAAGCAAGGTAAACATGCCTCAAAATATGTAGTAAAACATTCAGTGTTCAAACAGTGAAGTATATGTTTTCAAAATGCGTACTGCCTCCAGATCATTGCAAAGTGGTGTGTGACGCGCTGAAGCTCGCCTACCGTTACATGCACTTGAATGGCGAATGGGAAGTGCGCTTCAATTACCAGTTGAGAAATGGTGGCTATCAAAGCAGTTTTTAACACGCAATTTTATTTAGAGTTGTTTCACAATGATTGGGCTTATAAAAGCTAATTTCACTCCAGCAGCAACAGGAGCTGTAGGCTCTGTATTTGTATGCTGTGCATGTACCCATCGACCGATAAGCATGACCGGTCAAATCTATTAACATCAACTGGTATTTTCATCAATTAATAGGCTAAAAAGCATTATTTTCCAATGGGATTTTTTTTGTATCGGCCAAAAGCTGGCTATTACATTTACATTTTGCATTTTAGTCATTTAGCAGACACTCTTATCCAGAGCGACTTAGTTAGTGAGTGCACATATTTTTCATACTGGCCCCCCGTGGGAATCGAACCCACAACCCTGGCGTTGCAAGCACCATACTCTACCAACTGAGCTACAGGAGGCATTCATGCAAATACATTGAAATTGAGTTTTCACCCAAACCTACCTTACCAAAGGTACCTTCCTTTGATGAATATTACAGTGACAAAAAAAGAGGTTACATTACATAAGGTTATGTCCGTCAGAATCCAAAACTTGATTTAAAAATATCAGTATTGCAGTAATTAACTTACACTTTTCAACTTCAATGGCCATAACGTCCAGCTCTGCATCTGAGTTCTCTGCGGATTGCAGAGCTGTTCGGGAAGCAGACAGAACTGCAGTCTATTACCGGCTAACGGAAACCCTGCTCCACTTTCTTCTCTTTCTTCCACTCCCTCTCCTTTCCCCCTGTACTGTGGGCTAGGCTGGCCCTCCCCAGCCTGCTCTAATCCAGCTGTCCACTGTGTTGTTGCAGATGCGGCAGGCCAGACGGCTGTCAAACCCCTGTATACAGAGGTATACGGCCCGAATCGGGGAGTGCAGCACGTATGTCAGCTCCTGTACCCCAAAGTGCCTTCTCTGTACTGTTGATTTTCACTCACTTTTGTTTTTTTATGTCATGGTGTGGACTGGAGAGTCACCCATCTGCCTCCCTAAAAACCAAACTGGACATGTCCCTCCCTGTGCAGGCTCTAACCCCTCCACCCCTCTGCCCATTCCATAACTCCAACTCCTCCTCTCCTCTACCTCTGCTTCTTTGCTTTTCCTGTCTTCCTCTTCATGCTCTACCTCAGCCCTGGGGTTAGTTCCATAAACTAATTCCCTTGACTTAATGTAGCTTAACCTCCCTGGACCTCTGCAGCTAGTCACTACCTCCCATTTACTCCCACTTCCACACCCACTCACTCCCACTTCTTGCTATTGATAGGCCCTGTTGTCACCATTGTTGAAGATGACACAACTTTTTAAACATCCCTCTTTAACTTTGAAACCCTTACTGTACACACACACACACACACACACACACAAACATTTGCACTCTGTACTAACGCCTCTCTGGTACAGTGATAAAAGCTGTTGCACAGACCTGTTTCCTGTCTCTGTCTATGTCACTTCATATGTTTCTCTGACTCTCCTTGTCTCTCTTTCTCTGTGTCTCTGCAGTCTCCTGCAGATGTGTACCTGTCTTAGATGTCTCACATCCTGCCTGTCTCTAGTTCTACCTCCTGTCCACTGCCTGTATGTGTGTTTACTCTCTCACACACGGTCGACTTGCATAACCCAGTTAACTTGTCATTTTCTAAGCCAAGACAACTTAAAGTCTGAATTAATGTTATCTTTGGGAACTAAACCCTTGTCTTCTTTAACATCAATAACAGTTTAGCTGTTTGTTTTGTGTTCTGCATGTTTGTATGATGACTTCTTCTGTATAAACTAACCGCCCTAGCATACTTGAAGAATCACATAGCCTTTTGTTTACTCACTCATAAGCCGTTGCGGTGTAGGTGTTTCCGTTGCATCATCTGCTTCAAGTCATGCACATACGTTTTGGCAAATGTTCTGTGCCCGGCTGCATGTTTGAATGCATGATACAGAATTATGATGACTTTGGTGATGTTTTACACAACATAGGCTATCAGTTTGAACTATTTTGGGGAAAATTGCTTTTTGAATAGCCAGCAAAGGCAATCAGGAGTTATTTAAGTAACTGTCACTAACTCTTTTTGCTGGGTGAATGGATTGGGTAATCCTCTAATAGGTGCTACTGCGTATGGTCCCCCCCAGTAACAACGCCAACCGGTCACTGACATGTTTTTCTTTTTTACTTACTTTATTCCTCACCCCCTCTTGTTTTTTACAGAGAGTGAAATCTGACAGTGAAATACTAACTTTAAAAAAATGAGCACTACCATTTCTACTGCTTGCACTACCACTGCAGTCCTCCCAGCACCCACCCACCACTGCTCTGCTAGCACTTCTACGGTCTGCAACTGCGGCTACTACTACTTCTACTTCTACTTCTACTACTACCGCTGCTGCATCAGCCGTTACACCACAAGTCTGGCACTGATTCTATTCACAACTTGCCATGTTTTCTAAATTAGTATCTCGTCACCACCATTGGTCCCCGTCTGACTGTGATTCTGTGGGACCCCCCCCCCCCCCCACACACACCGCTCCTTCCTCTCTCAGCAGGAGCACTGTGGCCGTTCCTCCCCTTCCACATTCTACTGCAGCCAACCGGGGCCCCCCGTCCCTCGCTCGCCCATATCTGCAGTGCCACCCTACCCAAGGTGCCCTGCTGTCACGGGCGGTGCATGCCCGGAGCCTTGCGTGGGACAGCGAGCACTTCATGAGCCTCCTGCCGCGACCCAGCCACGCCCGACTGTCCCTGCAGGAGACACGCCTGTCCAAGTGACCGCCGACACTGCCCTCGAGTCGCCATGGAGACGGCGCAGCAGCTTCGAGCCCTACCCACCTGAACCACCCCTTGACCTGGACGCTGACGACCTGCCGGTCAGCGAAGTCTGACCCCTGAAACCTACCCATGAACTACCCTCAACCTACCCCCACACTACCCTGTAACCTGTCAGAGGGGGTGGGCTACAGAGGAGAGGAGATGCTGTGTGATAATGGGGGAAATGAGAAAAATGCTTTTGAATAAACGAGAGCAGCAGAACAGTGGGCCGCTTGTCTCGTCTCCACCAAACTGACCAGAAGTCATCTGGATGGAAATGGCAGAAAGCAGGCACTGGATTCCAAGCCAAAGTTAGTGGCTGTATAATGTGTCTGACTTCCAACCATCTCAACCCCCCTGTTCGTGAAGCTGTTAATCTACCCCAACTAGTCAACCCTAGTCAGACATTAAAGAGTTGAAGGTCACTCAGACAAAGAGACTGGGGGGTTGCGTTTTCTCCTTGTTTTCATTGTTTGTCATCTACTCAGTGGTCAAGGCCTGTGGACACTCACATGAAGGCCTGGAATCAGTTGTGTGTCTGTGTGTGTGCAAGGAGGGTGAGATTCACACTGAACTCTACGCCAAAGATTCCCTGCCATTTGCCATTCTTTCCCACCTGTTTCTCTGTTCTTATTTATTTCTTAGGGTTAATTTTGTTTAGAAAACTAAAATGTTTTTTATGTTTAATTAAAATATATACACTGAGTATATAAACATGAGGGACACCTTCCTGATATTGTGTTGCATCCCCTTTTGCCCTCATTTTGCCCTCAGAACAGCCTCAATTCCTACTACCACACCCCATTCAAAGGCACTTAAATATTTTGTCTTGCCCATTCACCCTCTGAATGGCACACATACACAATCCATGTCTCAATTGTCTCAAGGCTTAAAAATCCTTCTTTAACCTGTCTCCTTCCCTTCATCTACACTGACTGTAGTGGATTTAACAGGTGACATCAATAAGGGATCATAGCTTTTACCTAGATTCACCTGGTCAGTCTGTCATGGAAAGAGCAGGTTTTCCTAATGTTTTGTACACTCAGTGTATACCTGCAGCTCATGACTACGTGGACTCACACAGATTAATTCAGCAATTTGTGAGCCTAATATTTTATACCACTCTTTGCCAAGCAAGCTGGTAAATGGATGTTTTAAAGGTCCAATGCAACCTTTCAACGAATTTCTGGGTAACAATTAAGTACCTTCATGTTAAAAAAAGAAACAAAAATAGCTTCTAAGCAAAGTGAGGGGCCTAATTGTCTGAGTGAGGGGCCTAATTGGAAGAGCCTAATGGGAGGGATATGTAACCTGAAAACAATCTGTTATTGGCAGAGGTTTGAAACTCTCTTTGTTATTGGTCTATTAATTTATACCGCCTGGTGATGTCACCAGGCAGGCCAAACTCCATCCCACCAAAACAAGCTGAAATTTCAGGCAGTCTTTTCAGGCAGCTCTTACACTAAAATGGCATTATCATAATCTTCACAATTTCAAAGTATTATTCCAACCTCATAGTGTGGAAATATATGTAAAACACAGTAAGATCATGTTTTTGACTGCACTGGGCCTTTAAAGGCAGCAAGCTATATTCTTTGAATAGTTGTCAAGTAACATAGAAATAATCATACCTGGTCATTTCATACATTCACTCTTGTTGTTATTGAACTAATTGTGTCTTTAGTTTTTACTTTAATGTATGGTGCATGACCAAATTATTATAACATACATTTTCTTTATCTGATTTTAAAACCTACAACAATCTCACTCAATACTCACACCATAGTATTACAGTTAGAAAGTTGTTGGCACACACTGTGGACTGGTACGAGAGGACTGTGCAGTTCTAAACCAAGCCATGTACGTTTGCCTAATCCTAATCCTGCAGGGTACTGTAATGGGGTTTGGATTTGTACCAATAGGACTTCGGTGGGGGAGTGAGTTGAACGGCAGAGCGAGGTGGCTGCATTAAGGGACCAAAGTGAAAAGCAGTTACTTCCAGGGTCAGTGTCTTGCAGAGATGATACTCTTACTGGCCACCAACCTGCTTGACCCCTGACCTCTTCATACCTGTATACTGTATAGTGGCTTCTACCATTTTAGTGACTGCTGCCCTATTTGTTAAGTTATGACAAAATTGACACTGACTGCTGTGTTGTGCGTGTGTGAAAACATGGTTTTCTTTGTTGACAGTTTGTTGGGATTGTGTTTTATTTTGTTATGTTGTAAAATGATGTGTTAAGATGTATATTTCCGTTTCAACTTCCCTGTGCCTGTATTGCCAGGTAGTGAAGGTTAACCCTACCATACTACTCAAAGGTCTTATTTCAATAGATCTCATTAGTGGTTCTGCAAAACCATATAGCCGCTCAAGTGCCTGCATAAATTCTATTAAAAAACAAAGCTATTGTAATCCATTTTGTCTTGTGTACTAGATTTTAATTGTCGCTATTTATTACGTGGATGACTTGAAATAAACACTTAAATGCTCGTGTTGATTTGAATTATTGCAATTCATTTACATTACATTTTAGTCATTTAGCAGACGCTCTTATCCAGAGCGACTTAGTTAGTGAGTGCATACATTTTCATACTGGCCACCCGTGGGAAACGAACCCACAACCCTGGCGTTGCAAGCACCATGCTCTACCAACTGAGCTACAGGGGACATGTAGTTCACCAAGTTATGTTGCTACTGTGTGACTGTGGCATGCAGGTGCAACTCCTAGCATGAAAAACAAATGTTTTCAATTGGTAAGAAATAGTCATTAATGCCCATGAAATATGCTATCATGTGCATATATCAGTACATTAATCTCTTAATTAGATATAGTATGATCACTTATCTGAGATGGTACAAAACATATCTGGAAAATGTGTTTATCTGAGGGTTGTCTCAACACCAACATTTTTTTTGCAGCTTTGAAAATGGCCACTAGTGGGAATTTACACATAACTGTCAATAACAAAACATCAATTCAGTTCAATCTAGATGAGCAGCGGCTCATGATCTGCTCATCCAACTTTCCCACTGGCCATTTACATATTTTGAAATAAAATCAAGGACTAAATCTAGATGAACCAGACAATTACAAATCGATGAATTCATAAACTGTGTAATGGTTCAACCACTGTTACTCAGCCTAATAGTTAATTGTATGACTACCCTGCCCCCTGGTGGTGAAATGTAAACAGTTCACTTTCTTCCCAGGGTAGAAATGTCACACTACATTTGACTCACTCCTATACAGACTGACCATTTGAAATGGTCAGGTAGGGTCAGCATTATTTGGGTGAGCAGTGTGTGGTATAAGTTGTGTGTGGTCGAAAGGAGGCCCACAGTGACTAATGATGTCATACAGTTGCTTGTGGACAACAGAAACAACATCTGGATAGACTCTGGGCCAGTACAGCTCTCAGCGCCTGGAGTAGCCCAGTCTATCTCAGCCTTTATTGGCCTGCAACAGTGACTTTTGTGGGGCTTCTGAGAGACTAATAAAGCTGCAGTTGGGCCCTAAGAGACCTTTGCATGTACTCATGCAGAATGATACATATCACACCAACAATATGTCTACGTTGAGATTGGTCTTGCGTTGTTTTACTTATTAGGGTGTAACCTAAAGTCTGAATGTGTTTTAATGGGTTGATGTTGGCCCTATAGGTTGCCATGTCATTTTCACAACATTGTGCTCCAAAGCTATACATTCAAATGGCAAGAGTGTTTACAACCAAACCTCATGAACTCCAATGTCAGGTCACTCCCCACTTCTTAGCAATGCAAGACAAAGTGAACTATTATGAAAACAGGACACTCTCCATTGGGATGGAGAAGCATGTTAGACAAGCCCCATCGCACCACTGGGGGCCCTAGGCAACCTCCATCCCAATGCCTGGGCCATGAGCATTGGTCCAACCACCTCATTAAACCATAGTCATTAAAATATCCCTGGCCCATACCAATCATAGTATGTGAGAGCAGTTTATGACCGTGATTCATTGGTCCACTGTTTACTGGATCTTTTACAGCCCACCACAGGCATCTAACGTAACAGAGATTTGTTGTTTGCTACACTATATAAGCCACTAGCTATAACATTGGAATTTCCGCTTTTCACACTAGCAATTGGCCTATATTTCCTCCAATAAGAGCAATTTGTTTCATCTGTAATTTGTGCAACTTCAGAAAACTGTTTGGATTTCTGTTAGAATACCACAAAAAGCAGTTTGCTAATGATCATAGGATCAATATTTGTTGAATTAAAAAGCTTTGAATGTTAGCTCATCCCCACCCAAGTTCCCCTCAAATATTTGTTTCTGTTTTGTTGTTTGGTTCGTTAGTTTCTGACCACACATATGACATAATTAATTAATGAAGAAATTGTGATTTATTTTCTTCTAAGATTGAGCACTAATTATTTTATAAATGGCTTATAACCCACAGCAACCATAAAACCCCTCACACCCTCCCTTGCTGTTGTTTTTGTAGCCTAATTACATGAGTTGAGTAAGTTGCCAAGAGTGACTAGTTCATATAGGGAACAGTAAAAAACAAGCCGTTTAGGGCTGAACATCCAGAATCTCCCTGGCAGAATTATACATGCTTCATGACCTCTCTTATAATCTCTCCCGTTGTAAGGCAGTCTGTATGTATAGCTTCCTATTGATTGGAGAATTATCATATCAAGTTAATCAATGTCATGATGGCCCACACACACACATGAATGGGAATGTATTATTCACTATTTCATTTTCTAAATAGCTAAATAAAAATGGTTATCATCTAAAGGCACATATTTTGATTACTCCATCCATTATAGGTACAGTTCATAAGGAAAGTATTCAGACCCCTTCCCTTTTTCCACATTCTGTTACGTTACAGCCTTATTCTAAAATGGATTAAATACTTATTTTCCACCATAATTTGCAAATAAATTCATTAAAAATCCTACAATGTGATTTTCTGGATTTTTTTTCTCAATTTGTCTGTCATAGTTGACGTGTACCTATGATGAAAATTACAGGCCTCTCTCATCTTTTTAAGTGGGAGAACTTGCACAATTGGTGGCTGACTAAATACTTTTTTCCCCCCACTGTAAATACAAATTCATCATCAATCTACACACAACACCCCATAATGACAAAGCGAAAACAGGTTTTTAGATTGTTTTGCAAAATACCTTTTTTACATAAGTATTCAGACCCTTTGCTATGAGACTCTAAATTGAGCTCAGGTGCATCCAGTTTCCATTGATCATCCTTGAGATGTTTCTACAACTTGATTGGAGTCTACCTGTGGTAAATTCAATTGATTGGACATGATTTGGAAAGGCACACACCTGTCTATATAATGTCCCACAGTTGACAGTGCATGTCAGATCAAAAACCAAGCCATGAGGTTGAAGGAATTGTCCGTAGAGCTCCGAGACAGGATTGTGTTGAGGCACAGATCTGGGGACGGGTACCAAAACATTTCTGCAGCATTGAAGGTCCCGTGTAGCTAAGTTGGTAGAGCATGGCGTTTGCAACGCCAGGGTTGTGGGTTCGTTTCCCACGGGGGGCCAGTATGAAAAAAAACTAAAAAAACATGTATGCACTCACTAACCTTAAGTCGCTCTGGATAAGAGCGTCTGCTAAATGACGTAAATGTAAATCACAGTGGCCTCCATCATTCTTAAATGGAAGAAGTTTGGAAGCACCAAGACTCTTCCTAGAGCTGGCCGCCCGGCCAAAATGAGCAATCGAGGGAGAAGGGCTTTGGTCAGGGACGTGACCAAGAACCCGATGGTCACTCTGACAGAGCTCTAGAGTTCCTCTGTAGAGAAGGGAGAACCTTCCAGAAGGACAACCATTTCTGCAGCACTCCACCAATCAGGCCTTTATGGTAGAGTGACCAGATGGAAGCCACTCCTCAGTAAAAGGCACATGACAGCCCGCTTGGAGTTTGTCAAAAGGCACCTAAAGGACTCTCAGACCATAAGAAACAAGATTCTCTGGTCTGATGAAACCAAGATTGAACTCTTTGGCCTGAATGCCAAGCGTCATATCTGGAGGAAACCTGGCACCATCCCTTCGGTGAAGCATGGGGGTGGCAGCATCATGCTGTGGGGATGTTTTTCAGCGGCAGGGACTGGGATACTAGTCAGTATCGAGGGAAAGATGAACGGAGCAAAGTACAGAGAGATCCTTGATGAAAACCTCAGGACCTCAGACTGAGGCAAAGGTTCACCTTCCAACAGGAAGACAATGCAGGAGTGGCTTCGGGACAAGTCTCTGAATGTCCTTGAGTGGCCCAGCCAGAGCCCGGACTTGAACTCAATCAAACGTCTCTGGAGAGACCTGAAAATAGCTGAGTAAAGGGTCTGAATACTTATGTAAATGTGATATTTACGTTTATTTTTTTTATTTTTTTTTGCAACAATTTATAAAAACCTATTTTTGCTTTGTCATTATGGAGTATCATATGTAGATTGATGAGTGAAAAAAAAATAATTGAGCAATTTTAGAATAAGGCTGTAACGTAACAAAATGTGGAAAAAGTCATGGTGTTTAAATACTTTCCGAATGCACTGTATATTCCAAAAGTGTAGCATATCCCATGTTTAGCCTATATTCCAAAATCGAATTAATTGGAATAGGCCTAAATGCAAAATAAATAAATACCAAAGCTCTTCACTTAGGACGTCACACTCATAAACCAATTGCAATGCGTGTTATTGCCTGGAAAGTGTGCCGGGTCATGTTGAATTGAATAGGCTTTTATAAATGCAGTGCCAGCAAAACAATGCTAAATCGCCTATTGGTGCGCAGTGGAAGTGGAGCTTTACCAAATCCCGCTATATCTACAGCGACTGCTCTGCTCTACACTTTTCAGCTCACATATCCCAAAGCAAGTTTTAGAGTAGCCTTGACACTTTTTGTTTACTTTACAATTTTTTGACAATAGTGTGTTTCACAGTAAACCACCATGTTTTGGTCACTATTGTGCGTAACCGTTTACTTGGCATCCCTACCTGCCGAAGCACAGATCTCTAATAGGTACGTTATCGGCTGTCCTAGTCGTTGTGACAAGGCGATGTGTCCCCGTATGCCAGCGGAGTGCTTAGCAGGACAAATCCTCGACCACTGCAACTGCTGCCCCGTGTGCGCCTCTGGAGAGGGCGAAGCGTGCGGCGGCAATGGGAAGCTTGGAGACCCGGTGTGTGCAGAGGGGTTAGAGTGTTCGGTGTCGGGCGGAGTGGGCTACTCTGCCACGGTCAGAAGAAGAGGGAAGAGCGGTGTTTGCGCCTGCAAAACTACCGACCCTGTATGTGGCAGCGACGGTGTATCGTATCGTAACATCTGCGAGCTCAAGAGAGTCAGCAACCGGGCGCTGAAACTTCAGCAGCCACCTGTTCTGTTCATTCAACGGGGAGTTTGTGGAAAAGGTAAATGATTTATTAGGCATATTCTTCCCATTCCACCACTTGAATGTGCTAATTGTGTATGTGTCTCATCATTCCTCATGGTGGGTTCCTAACTTTAAATCAATGCTAGTACAACTCAACTTTAGGCGCAAATACATTGCCTTCAGAAAGTATTTATACCCTTTGACATTTACATTTACATTTAAGTCATTTAGCAGACGCTCTTATCCAGAGCGACTTACAAATTGGTGCATTCAATTTAGGATAGCCAGTGGGACAACCACATCTTGATCACAGTAAGTACACTTCTTGACTTATTCCACATTTTGTTGTGTTGCAGCCTGAATTCAAAATGTTTTTTTTTTCAACATCTACACACAATACCCCATAATGACAAAGTGAAAACATGTTTTTAGAAATGTTTGCAAATGTATTGAAAATGAAATACAGAAATATCTAATTTACATAAGTATTCACACCCCTGAGTTAATACTTTGTACAGGCACTTTTGGCGGTGATTACAGCTGTGAGTCTTTTTGGGTAAGTCTCTAAGAGCTTTACACACCAGGATAGTACAATATTTGCCCATTATTCTTTTTAAAATCCTTCAAGACTGTCAAGTAGATTGTTGATCATTGCTAGACAGCCATTTTCAAGTCTTGCCATACATTTTCAAGCTGATTTAAGTAAAAACTGTAACTAGGCCACTCAGGAACATTCAATGTCGTCTTGGTAAGCAACTCCAGTGTAGATTTGGCCTTGTTTTAGGTTATTGTTCTGCTGAAAGGTGAATTGGTCTCCCAGTGTCTGTTGGAAAGCAGACTGAACCAGTTTTTCCTTTTGGATTTTGCCTGTGCTTATAGCTGTATTCGGTTTCTTTTTATAAAAAAAAAAAAACTCCCTAATCCTTGCCGATGACAAGCATACCCATAACATGATGCAGCCACCACCATGCTTGAAAATATGAAGACTCAGTGATGTGTTGTATTGGATTTGCCCCAAACATAACGATTTATATTCAGGTCAAAAAGTTAATTCCTTTGACACATTTTTTTGCAGTATTACTTAAGTGCCTTGTTGCAAACAGGATGCATGTTTTGGAATATTATTGTGCTGTACAGGCTTCCTTATTTGCACTCTGTCATTTAGGTTAGTGTTGTGGAGTAACTACGATGTTATTTATCCATCCTCAGTTTTCTTATATCACAACCATTAAACTCTATAACTGTTTTATGGTGAAATTCATGAGCGGTTTCCTTCCTCTCCGGCAACTGAGTTAGGAAGGATGCCTGTATCTTTGTAGTGACTGGGTGTATTGATACATCATCTAAAGCCTAATTAATAACTTCACCATGCTCAAAGGGATATTCAGCATCTGCTTTTTTTATTTTTACGTACTGTATCTACCAACCGGTCTCTGTCTTTGCGAGGCATTGAAAAACCTCCCTGGTATTTGTGGTTGAATCTGTCCTTGAAATTCACTACTGGATTGAGGGACCATATAGATCATTGTACTGTATGTGTGGGGTGCAAAGATAGGGTGTCATTAATAAATCATGCTAACCACTATTATTGAACACAGAACGAGTCCATGCAACTTATTATGCAATTTGTTAAGCACATTATTACTCCTGAACTTATTTAGGCTTGCCATAACAAAGGGGTTGAATACTTATTGACTCAAGACATTTCAGCTTTACATTTTGTATTAATTTCAAAAAATGTGTAATAACACAATTCCACTTTGACATTATGGGTATTGTGTGTATCAGTGACACAACATCTCAATTTAATACATTTTGAAATTCAGGCTGTAACACAACAAAATGTGGGAAAAAGTAAAGTGGTGTGAATACTTTCTGAAGGCACTGTATCCCATCCAATTGATGATTAACACGAAAATCCCATTTATGCGCACCCGGGGGGCTGGTTATCAATTAAGGATTCATCCTTGCTCATTTTTGTATTCATACATCTTCATCAGACAGGAGTATCCCACTGGGCACACCACGTCATTTCAGCATGGAAATTAGGGTAATATTTGGTTGAGACATTGATCAATGAGATTTCAACCTATTCACCCACTCAAAAAGACAGACAGAAGTTTGTTGAATTCCCAATTTATTATCACTATGCTTTCAACCATCTAAAAGCACAACCAAATTCCAATGGAAAAACAATGTCAGATCTTTGGTTTAGTTGTCATCTAAATGTGTTATCACTGCACTTTCAACCATTTAATAGCACAACAAAGTTCAAATGGGAATACAATGTAAGATATTTTGTATTTATACAACAATTTAATGTGTTATCACTGCTTCATCTAATAGCACAACCAAATGACCTGGATTGCAGTTGAGATTAGGCTACATTAAAAGTACATAGTGCAAGTGATCAATGCTGTTCGAGATTCTGCACAGATTATTATAGCAATTGTGAAGATCTCCATGGACCTGCGACCTTTGCATGCTATCTTGAACATGCACGCTTTCTATTATTCCATAAGAAGAGATTGATAGTTATACTACAGTAGGCTAGCCTCAAAATGTGGCCATGGATGTGTTACTCATTTGAAGGTTGAATAAATACTGTTAGGCCTAGTTTGTAAGTTAGCCTTAACTTTAGGCTATTAACTGTATTACAAAAGTAATATTGTGTTTGGTTTACAACACAACCAAATATTAACATTTAATGCTTGGATAAGCCACTGGCTTAATCCTATTCTTTAACTTTTATTTTTGATTTAGTTGGAGATGTGAATCCAACATATTATTTGTTAACTTGTCGACAAGTTAATAGACTATTTACTGTATTGCAAAAGTGATAGTGAATTGTGTTTGGTTCTCAACGCAACCAAATATCAACATTTGAAGGAGATGTATATTTTGTGCCACTGACTTAGTCTGGCTTTAAATCCAGTTGGTCTACAAATGAATTATTGATACTTACTGTATGTTGGATTCACGTGTCCATCTCAACCAAGAACCAAAGTTAAAGAATAGGAAAACATTTAATCAAACTTTATTTAAAGTGCATTTAAAGTTTGATTTGATTTAGACCTATTCTTTAACTTAGATGTTTGGTTGAGATGGAGAAGTGAATCCAACATATCAATTATTAATTTGTAGACAAACTGGAATCCAAGCCAGAGTAAGTCAGTGGCACAGATGGAATTATCCAAGCTGAAGATACATCTCCTTCAAATGTTGATATTTGCTTACGTTGACAACCAAACACAATTCAATATCCTGTTTGTCTTCAAATTGATAATTAATATGTTGGATTCACATCTCCATCTCAACCAAACATCTAAGTTAAAGAATAGGACTAAATAAAATCCAATCAAACTTGAAATGCACTTTAAATAAAGTTTGATTTGATTTATTCCTCTTCTTTAACTTAGATTTTTGGTTGAGATGGAGGCGTGAATCCAACACATTAATGATTAACTTGAAGATTACTTTTGAAATCAACCGAAGCTTGAAAACCTAGGCTGCCTATATGTATTGTCTATTTTCAGTTGAACCCTGGGTTGAATTGAAACAATAGCTGTTGATGACGTTGCAAATGCTATACAGGCCTAAATAGTATCGTTGTTGATATATTGTATGACTTATAAAGTATGGTTACATTTAATTTGCTCTGTTAAACCAACCCTATTCAATGACTTTGATAGCAACAGTGAATATATTTAGTTATTAAGAGATCTGTCAATAATCGTTCTCATGATACCACATTGGTAGTAGTCAGTGACAAACATCAAAGCTGGGCTTGGTTAAAACCCTGGATGGGAGACCAAATGAATAGCTGTAGATAGATCAACTCTCCAGTAGGAGGTGCTGCCCAGACTATCGTTTTTTTTTCTGATAGTGGCTATAACGTTTAGCATCTGACGTTGTTTCAAAAACACAAATTCAACATATTTTATACAAGGTTTGTCTATGTTGAAAATTGGTTACAATGAATACATAATCCTGTGGTTGAAATGTCACCCTCAAAACAAGAATTGATTACTTTTTTCAAATCCAATGTACAGTGCAGAAAGTATTCACACCCCTTTACTTTTTCCACATCTTGTTGTGTTACAGTCTGAATTTGAAATGGTTTAAATTTAGATTTTATGTCACTGATCTATACACAATACCCCATAATGTCAGAGTGAAATTTTGTTTGTAGAAGTAAAAATGTGCTTAACAAATTGCATAATAAGTTGCATGGACTCATTCCGTGTTCAATAATAGTTGTTAACATGATTTTTTAATGACACCCTATCTTTGTACCCCACACATACAGTACAATTATCGTATCTGTAAGGTCCTTCAATCGAGTAGTGAATTTCAAGCACAGATTCAACCACAAAGACCAGGTAGGTTTTTCAATGCCTCGCAAAGATAGACACCGGTTGGTAGATACAGTATGTAAAAATAAAGAAAGGCAGACGCTGAATATCCCTTTGAGCATGGTGAAGTTATTAATTAGGCTTTAGATGATGTATCAATATACCCAGTCGCTTCAAATAGACAGGCGTCCTTCCTAACTCAGTTATCGGAGAGGAAGGAAACTGCTCAGGGATGTCACCATGAGGCCAATGGTGATTTTAAAACAGTTACAGAGTTTAATTGTTGTGATATTAGAAAACTGAGGATGGATTAACAACATTGTATTTCCTCCACAATACTAACCTAAATGACAGAGTGAAAAGAAGGAAGCCTCTACAGAATAAAAATATTCCAAAACATGCATCCTGTTTGCAACAAGGCACTTAAGTAATACTGCAAAAAATGTGGCAAAGAAGCAAAGTTTTTGTCTTGAATACAAAGTGTTATGTTTGGGGCAAATCTATCACAAGACATCACTGAGTACCACTCTTCATATTTTCAAGCATGGCGGTGGATGCATCATATTATGGGTATGCTTGTCATCGGCAAGGACTAGGGAGTTTTTTAGGACAGGCAAAATCCTAGAGGAAAGGTTCAGTCTGCTTTCCAACAGACACTGGGAGACAAATTCACCTTTCAGCCGACAATAA